CTCTCCCCCCACTGAAGAGGCCACCTTTCCCACCAAACGGGGAGAAGTCGTCGTCGTCCATCTTTGGTGGCTTAAACATGTCATCGCTGTCATCTTCGGCTGCTGTTATAATATACATAAACAATATTGAGCAGCATACTGGGGACAATGGGGCCTTGTGTGGTAATAACTAATGCAAACAAAAATGTTTTAAATTGCACTGATGATGAATGAAAGTCCTACCCTGTGGCTTTGCAGGCTTTGGTTCTTTCCTGCCTTTACTTTTCTTCTTAGATGTCAATGCTTCCAAGACATGACATGGTAGAAACACAAAATCCATGACCATGCACATGCAAAGATGGCACTCGTTTCTTTAATCTCAAATGTTAACTTTGATGCTGTCTTTTTGTTAAATCAAATATGAAGAGTGGGAGGAACAAAAAAAAAAGTCACGTAAATTCAAAATGAAATGATGCACTACAACTTGGTTGATAATGACTTACATGCGCGATCTCCTTCAGGTTTGTTAACTGGTTCACCTTTGATTCGGGCTGCCAGCTCATCGGCAAAAGACGAAGGGCCTGTGTTCTGAATGTGACACAAAAACAGCGGAAGGGAAAGAAAGAATGATCAGAGAGAGGTAGCAACATATCTGAATGATTTCAGACTGAAATTAAAAATAGTCCACTCAAAGAGACATCTCTCACCAACTCAACAGGCATACCTTTGAGTCGTCATCGTCCCCGTCCGATTCTCCAAATATGTCAGAATCCTCGTCCTCCTCCTCTTCGTCATCCTCATAACTCAACATGGAGGACTTCTAGGTGAGCAAGGGAGGAGGATCCAAAATTATAAAGCTGTTCGGTTTAAATATAATCGCTGACTGGCTTAGCAGACAGGCAGCCAGCTTACCTTCTTAATATTATTGTGACCATCATCCTCCTCCTGATCAAAGTCATCATCTGAGTGCTGTTAAAAAAATAAATGCAATAAGGTGTTTATTTTCCTGTGCAAGATGATAAAATAAAAACCTTGAAATATACTGTGAAAGAAAAGCAAAAAAAAAAAAAGATCTTACAACTGCTTCTTTGCCATCTTCGCTCTCGATCACGCTGTCTCTGTCACTGTCAACTGACATTTCTGGAAAGAGAACCATAAATATACATGAGGGAAAACAAACACTATAATGTACAAGTGCCGGAAGAAGCCGCCATGACTGCATTACCGTCACTTGAGAGGTCACCAAGTCCAACGTCATCTTGTTCCATGAAAGCCTGCGAACCAATCAGATATGGAAGAGGTCTGTCCACATAAAGATCCTGTAAGACAAGACAAAACAGACACACAGGCTTTAGTACATTAATGTAAAGATGATCACATGCATTTCTGCAGTAACTGCAGTAAATTACTGCTTCAAGATTCAGATCACACCTTGGGCTCCAGGATGGCCTCCACTCTGTCTGTGACCTCCTCGTCCTCTGAGTCAGAATTTCCTGCTTTGATGTCCAGATGCTCAAAGGCTGACTCCAGCACTCTCAGACCGTAGTTCACAGCTTCCTGCATCTTAGGGATCAACTCTGCTTCCTTCTGCTCTCGAGTCCTCTCCTTCAGAGAAAACATAAACAACTTTCAGGGCAATACAAGACTTGTGAGTACTAAGGTGGCCATCTTGTCTCTGAGATGGTAAAACTGAAAAGCAATATTCAGTACTGGCTGGTCAGTGTTGTATTCTTCATACCTGCTCAGGCGGCTTCTCCAACACATCTGCCTTGGGAATAGTCTCTTCTACCTCCTCATCATAAACTCTCTGTAACAGAAAGTAAAAGGACATTTTTTTGTTATCAGTTATAGTATAACAAGCAAAACTGAAGTAGAACAGAAAGGTTTCATACATACATTTTCTATAAACTGTGTATTGGAAAGCATGAGAAAGTCGTTAAAGACAGAGTGCAAGCAGCTGTCTGTGGCCTTGGTGTCACGGATCAGACTGTCCAACTGCTTTTCAATCTCATGTGTCTTTGACAGCATTCTCTGGGAGAACTCTTGGAGGAACAGAAAGAGCTGTGAGGGGGAAAAAAAGACAGCAGCAGTTGCAAAGTTACTTTCATCACACAAAAGTAGAACAGATTTCACAATCCTCTCATCTACAACTATGTAACATAATACCCAAAACATTTCTGCAACATTTCTGTGACTATATGGGAAGATGTGGATGAAGTACTGTAATGTTTCTTGGTTGTTGTTTCTTTATTTCAGAGCTGGGGAAGAAACATCTGACTTACCCCTGCGTCGGCTGCCAAGGACCAGTTGGCACTGTTCTGCCGCATCTCTTCAAGAGACCAGGGTCTTTCCCAAATCTGAGCATCTTTCTCTAAATATTGACTCCTGCTTGGGCCATTTGCAATTCCCTCCGGCAACCCACTCATCTGCAATCAGATCATTTATTGCTATTAATGGAATTAATAATTCAGAAGGGCTTTTAAACAACTGTCATTAATAAATCATAAAGAGGACAACCCAACCTAAAATAAGATGATTCTTCTGGTGTAATAATGTGGACTACAAATCTGTTTTGTGTATGTGAACCAGTATCTCCTTGAGTTAAACAGCTAAGATAGTGTTAAAAGGTAAAAGATTGTTGGAAGCAATACAATTTAGGCAACTTTATAACATGCTGCCTTCCGCAAACTTATAACATTATTACCAAAGCCCAAACCATAAACTGTAGTGATATTGTTAAGAAACCAGTCATGAAGCTGTTTCACAGACAACTCCTAAGACACTGGGAACCATTTCTTATGGATGCCCTAAATGTACTTCCCAAAAAAAAACATAGGAAACACCGTGCAAACAGCTAAACATTGCATCAGTTAACAAAGAAACCTACATTGAAACCTCTATCTAGTTCTAACATAACAACTACAAAAGTTAAGTAAGGTCTGTGACAGGACTTTGGCATTACTCCACAGAACCAGGGCTATCAGCGAGGCCAAATAAATGATACATGATTCCCCAACCAACTCAACAATCAGTGTGAAGTGCTGCCCCCCTGATCAAAGGTTTAAATCTCTCCTCTGTAAAATAAACCAGGCGTGAAGATCATTCATCCCAGTGTTTCTGTATACGTGATGCGTTCATGTTCTATAATAGACCACAATAAATAGTGCTGATCCTTTGATTTCCTGCTCACGGGGGACAGTCTGTGTGTGTGTGTGTGTGTTGTGTGTGTGTGTGTGTGTGTGTGTAACGTTAGATCTTGACTTTGGTTTCCTGAGTCACTGAAATACCACAGGATTAATTTATTAGTTCGTTCGTTATCTGTCATTTGGCTAAAGTAGTTTTACTGCTACACTTGCGGTTCAAGAAGCCAGCTTCGGCTTTGGCAATAACGTTACAAATTTGCGGAAGGCAACTTGTTGTGTCCATATAAAGTTGCCTAAATGCTATTTCCTCCTACTAGCTTTCACATTCAAACAGACTTTTTTTTTTTTTTTTTCCCTGCAAGAGAAAGCGGGGACTGTTTGGTTAGCAGCTAGCTCAAGTTAGCTAGCCAAAAGCAACGTTAGCTACAGCTGTTCCAAGCAACACAGAGTGATATTCTCCAACCAAATGTAAGCGCTCTTATGCTTACCTTGAATACCTCCGGTCAACTGCTGTCCACAACGGTCAACTGTGGTCAGAAACGACGTAAAAAAATAAGATCGATTATGCTAAATTTGGCCTTTCCCTCATTGGTCTTCTGACAGGTCAGCCATGTTCTGTCTGCAGACAGTCACCTGACTGTCGTTGCCTGGCAACCCAGTGAAAGTGGGGCGGAGTGGAACATACCAACAGGCGAGGTAAATGGGAAATGCTGATTTTTGTAGTCGGTGATTAGTTGGGTCTATCACACACATGCATACATATCTGAATGTCTGTTTTAAAGTAGTAGTTTTAATATTAGTTTTTCATGTGTAGGACATCCTGTGGTCCACTAGAGCTCATTCACTGCCTACACTGTTTTGACATTTAGTTGAGATGAAATGAATATGCTGTTTGTTTTTCTGACTGAAGTTTGTCTCTGCATTCACCTCCTGCTTGCATTTAGAAAGCCATATTATAAACACACAAGTCTGATGAGTCCATATTGACTCAGTACAGTTAAAGTGGTTAAATAATGTACTTGATTTTTTTGGGTTTAGTGCTAACAATAGTGCTCAGATGAAGCTCAGTAACTACAGAACAGGAACACTGATTAAAGGGAAATGAGACTGCAATCTCTGAAGGTAATGCAAAAGACCATGATGTCCAAAAGGCAACTAAAATACCATTTTATGGCTCTTCTCTGTAACTGTGTGACACCACGTAAAAAAGGAGTTTTATGAGGTAATTAAATGAAAACTATCAGTGCAGTTAGGTTGATTCCCACTTAGAAGAAAGTCAGCTAATGAGCAGATAGCAGCCATAAACTCTGCAAAATGAACTGACACACATGCATAACTAGATACAATGTTTTAAATAACCTATTGAAGTCCATAACCAAAAGTTTACATTCCCTTAGATTCATATTTTCTAATGTCTGGCCATCCATCTGAAGAGATCTTAGAGATCATTTCGCAACCATATATGAGTGCTACATTTAGGAAGTACTGTTTCTAATATAAATTATATATGGGTTGTACCTAAAAGGAAAAATATTGCTTAATGTTTCCCACCAGTTTATTTCTTGAGACTACATTTATTATAAGAAAGAATATCAATCATTAAATGGTGCAAAATCAATAAATTGGGAGCTCAGATATAACATATATACATCCAGTGCAAAATCCAGTTTGATAGTGAATTAAGATTTCAGATCACTGAAATATTCAAATGTGTTTATCAGGGTTTACAAAGTAGGACTAGACAATGTTTGGTCAAGTAAATGTTGTAAATGCTATCAGTTATTTATTAGCTAGATGATTATTAATAGGTTAGTATTGCAGATAATGGTGGGAGTAAACTACATTTTATCTGATATGTTTGATAAAGGCAACACAGAATTTTGAAATAAAGTTTATTTTCTGTATTTGACAACAGATATAAAAAAGTATTTTTCCATTATTAAAAAAATATTTTCCCAACAGGGAAATTTAACAGAACGCACACATTCAACACAACAGTGAAATTATAACAATAAATCAACAAACAAGATAATATGTATCGGAAAATTGTTGCTGACAATGTGTCATGCCCCTGAATCAAGGCAAATATGAACTAATTAATGTATGGGTGTGTTTCCACTTGAGGCTGATTTGCAGGATAATAAACAGTCAGCTTTTCAATTACTCAGACAGGCTTAAGCAAACAGTGATCAAATAAATTATGAAATATCTTTGAGAAATTACTACAACTAATGGAGAACTGGAAGAACACAACAATGTAAAAATATCCCTCCAAAAACCCCCCACTCAACTTCAGTATGTATATGTAACACATACATACCCTCATTGCACACATCAACCAACAATGTAATTAACATACAACTTTATCATTACTTTTTTCAAGACATTAAATAAATCAATATTTTGTTTGTTTCTTGTGCAGCACTACCAAAAAAGAATAAGGCCTCAGCCCTCGACAAACTCTGATCTCTTCTAAAATGGTTTTATTCATAAATATACAGTTTATATTTGTATTGACAATGAAACTTTGGGGGGAGACAAATAGTGCAAACTGAGCTTAACATTAAGGCAACGGCTATTAAAGCCCTGAAGACAGATTTCTATGACACTAAGTCACACTCTGCCACCTGGTTATGGTGAGAAGCTTCTCTCGTCTCATCTTGATTTTCAGTCTCGACCTCAGTAGGCTCTTTGTTTCCAGCCTCCATTTGCACATCCGTCACTTTGGACTCCATTTGCTCATCCGTCACTTTGGACTCCATTTGCTCATCCGTCACTTTGGACTCCATTTGCTCATCCGTCACTTTGGATTCCTTGTGTACTTGAGGCTCCATCTCTGGCATCTCTTGGTTTAACTCCCCAAGTACTGATTCTGTCGCTTCCTCCGTTTCATTTGTGCCATCCATCGCACAGTCTCCCTCAAATTCTTCTGGTTTCTTGTCGCCTCCTGCCTTGTTGGTGTCATCCACCGTATCGTCTCCCTCTTCCTTCTCCTCGTCCTCAGCAGTCATTACAACCTCATTTTCTTCAGTCCCACTGGTTTCTTCACCGTCATCGTCCTCCATCACAGACTCCTCTCTGTCATCACTCCCGTCAATCTCCTGCTCTTCTTGGCTGCTCGTCAATGTATCCACAGGCAAAGGCTGCCAGTAGTCATACAACTTACCCTACAGGAGGAAAATTGTAAATCAGAATCTTTAACTAAATACTGCTTTTATGAGGAAAACACTTTTAATAAAATATTTATATAAGAATGTGTGTCTACTGTACATGGAGAGGCCTGGTCCTCTGAAGGAGCATCTGCCACTTGGTGTAGATTCTGGCCACCAGGTCCTTTACCTGGAGGGAGCGGAGGAAGTTGGATGTTTAACAGACACTGCTTTTGAGAGCGCACCCTAATTTAAATGTCTGGCTTGCATGACTGCATCTTGTAACCAAGTCAACAATGACTTCGACGTTGACTGAAAGGACGTTGTGTAGGATTTGGTGGTATCTAACAGTGAAGTTGCAGATTGCCATCAACTGAGTAATGCATGTAGGAGAAACTACAGTGCCCTATCTAGAGCCAGTGTTTGGACCTGCTCCCTCTGTAGATAAAAACAGCTCATTCTGACCTAAGAAAAACGCAATGATTCTTATTTTTTTTTAGGTGATTATAACACTAATGAAAACATACTTAGGAATATAATATTCTATTCTTCTGTTTCTGCCAATCCTCCTAAATGGTACACACTGGACCTTTAAATTCATCGACATTGACACCAATTATGAAGATAAATCACTTTTACATATTCACATTAGTAACAGAGAGATAAAGAGGTACCCAAAATGGGCTTCTGTGCAGAGCTACAATGGCATATACAGAAGTTAAAAGGTGGACATTGTAGGTCACACAAATCTAATCCAATAAACTATTTTCAAATTCAGCAGACATCTCCTCACGGTCCACTAGCTTTCACCTCTGTGTGCAGTGAAAAAAAATTAGAGAGAAAGAAACAAAGTGGATTGGACCAAGCCACACAACACTAACTTGTTATTCCAGCCAGGATTTGTGTCAGGAAACTTTAAATTACTTGCCCAAAAACAAACATTCAGCATACTTTCTAATTTAATCTAATATTGTATACAATATATACAGATATTATGTACCTCAGCCGGGGAGCTTTAACTGTGCCGACTGGTCTTTCAGGACTCGTCTAAAAGCACTGATTAACTAACAATATATTGTGTGATTCCTATGAAGGCTGTTTCTTTAAAATGCTAAGCTTTGGGTCTCCAAGAAATTGAAAAGTTTGCTCCATTGAGGAAGGGGACAAAACTGTTTATAGTGAAATAAGGAATGATGTTTGCACCAAAACTGAGAGGGCCAAAGCTTTTTAAACAGAGTACCATCAGTACTCGGTGTGTTCCCCAGAGAAACTGTTTAAACAGGAGATATTGAGGTTGGTGGAACATCAGGTAGGTAAACTTCATCTTGCTTACCGGGCAGGTAGAAGTATTGAGGATGACACTCTCATTGAATTTGTTATTTCAGTATTTGGAGGACTCCAAAAGCAATACTAAGCTCTTTTTCATGGACTTTCCCACAGCATTAAACACAATCCAGCCAGTTACTTGCTGAGAAACTTTTTTCCACTTGCAATATAAATGTAAATCTCATTGATTGGATTTCTTGACAAACAGGGCCCAGTGTGTTAGAGTCAACAGTTTTCCTCCACAGACTCTCTCTGGGGTTGTACCACGTTTCACGTTCGTCTTATATTGTATACAAAATCTACAATAACAAGCTTATGTGGATATTTCCTGATAATGACTCTGAACATGGACCAGTTGTTGGTGTGAGTTTTATCTTGAGATAAATGCACCAAAAACTAGACTTCATATGAAGACATGATATCACTGATTTTAAAGAACGCACCCCAGGATTATTGACAGGATATAGACAATAATATTTCTCATGAGGGCACATATTTGGGAACAGTCACTGATAACAAGATGTGCTTTGAGTCAATAATAATACTGACTGTTCTGACTGGTCCTGCAGTGTTTATTATTCATAATACAGGTGTGTTATATTCAGATGTGCAATACTCAAAGACACTTTTATCCGTGTTTATTGAATTTCTTCTTACTTACTGTGGCTTGAGTCTTATAGATAAAAACAGGTTGGCAAAGTTAACAATAGATTTTTGCTGTTTATTGTGATTATGTCATTATTATCATTATATATTGCCTGGCTGCAAACCAAATTTCTTCAGGATAACGTGTCGTAGAAAACGTAGAAATGTTTTATATCGCATCTGGATCTACATCAAAATACACACTGGCACACAAAAATACCCGCAGCTCTTCTTACAATCCTACTCACCTTGCTCCGGTAAAGGCATTTCTCGCTTTCTCTGATGTCACACTTAACATGCGTTTCCAGCTCAGAGCATAGAATCAGCAGTTGCTCCTAACAGCCAGAAGAAAAAAGGGAACATTAACACAACCCAGCAGGCAAAAGGATATTACCTTCATCAAAACATCAGACATTAAAAAAACCCTGACGATAAATTAGCAGATTAAAAACCAGTCGGCCAACGCTTGAGACCAGAAAGATAAAGGATTGAAGTCTTACCTTTTGATGAGCAGGGAAGAACTGAAAATTGGAAGCTTCATTTGCCAAGGTCAGAAGGCTATAGCAGAGGTAGTAGGACTGAGACACATGAAAAACGTTCAGTTATAATTCTGTGAATGTAAGATTATTTTACTTGCACATAATAAATTGGCAAGACATTCATTATATGCTCACCTGTTGGTCTAGGGTGTCCATGTCCTCGTCTTTATCTTTCTGACTCCTAGAGGAGCTCAGCATGGCTCTGAGAATGGTGGAGGGTTGCATACGGGGCAGGTACGGTCTCAGTTTAGAGAGCTAAGCATGGCAGAACGATGGGGAAATGCAGATTACTGAAGACATTCATTATGTTGTAACAGTCATTTAGATAATCTAAATGGAAATAAAGGATCTAAAGGAAACCATCCAGGTTTAGTTTACACAGTGAAACAAATTACCTGAATCTCTTTGTCCGTAGGTCTGTACATACAATTTCCATCTAACAGTTTAGAGATCATGGACAGGCTCAGATGTCGACGCAGTTGTCTATATGAACAAAAGAGAATACTTTTTAATGTACGCCATTTTAAGAACTACAATATTTTAAAGAAACACTCATTGTGTGGGAAAAAATAAAGGAGACAAGCAGATCAGAGAAAGAAAAACAGATAAAAGGACTTACTTTCCACGTGTGTTGTCAGGCAGCAGTTGAACTAGCAGGCACATGTTGTGGTGGTCATCCGTCAAATCAGTAATGGCCAGACAGATTCTGGGCAGCTGAAAACCATTTCAGATAAATAATAAATTAACTAAGTAAAAAGAAACAGGTGAACAGGGTTTATACACAATTTGGGGAAATGATTTCCATAATGTAAATCAGTTTTCAGGACTGAACATTCTGTGATGCACGAAAAGAACATTTAATTTATATTAACTACAATAATTCCCACGTACACAATAGCAATTGGCAATAATTCAATATAATCTTAACAACTGTCTACTGGAAGTCTATTGTGATATGATCATATCAAGTTAATCAAATTAATGATTCAAAGCAAACTGAAACAAAAAAACAAAAAGAAATATGTATTCAAGGTTTTGAATACACATATATTAGGAGTTTTGGCTGACGTTAAGCAGCGGCACATAGTTCAACGCACTGTAAATCAACTTGATAATTTTACATGATTTGGTACAGATTCACCTAATAACCCCGGTTTTCAAATTCTACGACTTGAAATAAAATGAAACAATGAAAACTTGTCCTCACTATCCCTGCAACTTTTGAAAAATCATGCAAGGAACATATGAACTGACCATGGTGTTCCAGTCCCTGATGTTGTTGACAATTTTGTACTGTAGAGGGTACAGTTCCACACTGGACTGGAGGAGGAGACGCGTGTCCAGTCCCACCCTTCCCACCACAGTCAGCAGCAGAAGCAGCTCATCGTCGCTGTACGCCCGTGGACATAGACCCATACAGTAAGACAGGTACTGCAGACGAGAACAAAAAGAGAAATCCAAGTAGTGAATGACCTGAATGGTTAAATTGTGTTGTCTCAGACATGACAGCAAACTGTTCATATCTGTTTCCTTTCGCAACTCACCTTCAAGATGTTGTTGCAGTTGTGTTCAGGGAAGGCGCTTTGTTCCTTGTTATTGGAGGGACTCTCACTTTTGATATAGATGTCCTCCCTACACAAACACAGATATTCAACTGCATGAAATTAAAGACATCAAATAAACAACTTTCAGATCATATTTTATGCTTTAAAATAGGAATACAACAAAATAAATGAATAATCCCATAAACAGGAACAGTACTTACAGCAAATCTCCCTCTGTGAATGGAGGCTGCAGATTCTCAAAAGGGAAGAGAGTAACAAACGCCACTCCCATATTCATCAAGACCAGCGCCACATCGGCCAAACTGGGCACCCACACTTTAAACTGCTGGCTCCCATTTTTCACTGAGGAAGAATACACAGGAAAAAAAGTTATGTTAATAGAGCTTAACAATAGGGAGGAAATACCAAAATGATGGGGGTGGGTGGTGGAAGACACTGACCTATCTGATAAGCAGCAGTGCAGGCGATGTCACAGAGGGCCTGTAGTATCTTTTCAGATATCATCCTCTCACTATGGACGGACATCATCTGATCAACAAAGAACAACAAAGAAATTACTGCCAGTGCCTTGACGATTTGGACACAAACCACTACTGACGTGCTACAGGTGTGTGTGTGTGTGTGTGTGTGTGTGTGTGTGTGTGTGTGTGTGTGTGTGTCCTACCTGGAATAGGAAACGTGTAACCTGAGTTGGACAGGGCGAGAGGCAGTCGTAAGCTTCTTGGAACAATCCAATATTTACATGCAATCTCAGCTGAGCAGGGCTGGACCTGTTAGAAGGCAGGGAAACATGAGTGGAGAGAAAAAGCGATACACTCACAGTCTAAAGTTTAGAAGTTAGCTTAAAAGTCTAAGCTCGTGGTAATCTAGTCTTCAGTTTATATATATATATATATATATATATATATATATATATACATACATACATATACACACACACACACACACACACACACACATATATACACACACACAAGAACACAACTCACCAAAGAAGCGTTTTCTGTACTGTCCCCTGTGGATTGACCATGCACTGTCTCAGCTGCAGCGTATTATGGTTGAAGATTTGGCCAAATTTCTCCAGATTGAACACCACTTCTCCTGGAGGCACTTCCCTGATTGCGCTGGACATCAATGAGTAGCGCTGCAGGAATTCCCTAAGAAAAAACACATTTACAACAGAACATAAACAATGCAGATCAGTTAATTAATGTGCAAGGACTCTGATCCAGTGCCAAGGTGCAATGTGCTTTTACATGTCTTACTGGTGTTCTGAAGAGATGCCCTCCTCACGGTTCTCCTCAGCCTCTTCGTATTCAGCTATTCTCAACAAGTCCTCTTTACATGCAGTTAGAAGTTGTGTCTCAATCTCTTTAGCTCTGATGGATAAAAAGAACGTGGACAATGTTAGCTCCTCTCGTGCAGCTACTGCAGCTCAAATTAAAAAGGTAACGTGAGTGAAGTTTTCTGAATAATATACTTTTTAGTGGTGTTTATTTCCTTCAGCATCTGATCGAGGTTGTTCTTGTAGATGCCTGACTTTGTGGTGGAAGGCAATGGCAGCTGTGGGAAACGCAACAGACAACAATTAAGATCCAAACAAGCTCAGCAAGTTGATTATGACAGATTCATAACTTCACGTATGATAAAAATAAGCCATGTGGAGCTTACAGTTTTTGACATGCAGCTGTGATGTCCAGGTGTGCTAGGCTCTGAGAAGGCTCCCTTCTCCGGTGTGTCTGGAGGCTTGGTAACACACTCCATCATCTCCTGCAAGGAAAGAAGCTGCTCCTCCTCACTACTATGGGAGCTCTGGGTTAGATCCAAATCTACAGCAAAGCTCAGGCCTAGGTCAAGCTCCACATCCATAGGATCATCTTCTTTCACCTGCTTTTTACCCCCTTCACTTGCCCCCCTCTCCAGCAGTGGAGACTGACGACACTGAAATGTAAGAGTTTGCTCGGAGGCAGCGGTGTCAGTCTCTAAAGCGCATGATCTCACATTGTTGGGAAGCAAAGATGTACGTTTATCATCAGATTTAACACTCTCATCCTTACGCTCCCTGCCTGAAGAAGTCAAGTTTTGGAGTTCAACGTCTTTGGGGCAAAAAGATCTTAGGTTTTCAAGTTTTACCCGCTCTAAAGCTACAGTTGGCAAGGAGATTTGTGGCTGGGGTGCTGATGACAAGAAAGAGACGTTGGCGTCTACTGCCTGAGAACTTGTTACTGTGACAGTTTGTGTTATGAGACAGGAGGATCCAGTAGTTGTGGTACTGGACACAGCGCTGGATGAACAAGCTTTCTCTTGGGTGAGGGATTTAGTCGTTCCCCCATCTATCTTGGGCTTTGCTTTCTTATTTGTGGGGCAGACTACAATGGGATCAGGAGTAAAAAGTTCAGTTATATCATAAGAGACTGCAACAGGTCGTCGTGGGCGGGCAGGTTTGTTCCGTTCTACCGTGCGACCACTCAGAGAACTGGAATTTGGTTTTGAGGCTGGTTTGGGAGTGCTACTGTCTGTTTTTCTGCTCTCCTCGACCTGATTACCTCTGCTCAGGGTCTTGACTGGTAAGACTGAGGTACTACGGTAAGTATTGCCAGAGGGGTGGCTGCCTGACTGAAAATGAGGTGAGCCAACAGTGGCCTTCTGGGGAACCTCGGATGATAACGAAGAGCTTGATTTATCGCTTTTATTGTTTTCCTCACTTCTGTCTTCACGTGGCTTTGAAGGTGATTGTAACTCTATTAACTTCACAGTATGATTCTGAGAGGAATTTATATAGGCTTGCTTTGCCCCCGTTGATGGTCGTCTCTTTATACAAGGTTTGGGTGACAACGATGCGCAGGATGACTGGGTGGGTTTAAATGTGGATGACAGTTCCAAGTAGGTTGATTGGCCACATGCTGGTTCCGTGCACAGATGGCTCTCTGTGGTTTTGGGTGACAGTTCCAAGACTGAAGAAGGCCCCGATGACGGCTGAGACACCAGCGAAGTGCTGAGTGAGTTGCCAACACTGGGCTTCGGTGTCTGGGAGTTTGCACCCTGAAGACACAGTTTCTTGGCACCGTCGTCACAGTCCTCAAACTCCCTGTACCTCTTCTGAGATGAGTAATTCATGTCCACTGCTGGAGACAAAAAAAAGGCATAAAAAAATGTATTTTCTTTTACAAATATTCAGTGTTTACAAATGTCTTACAATGTCAGTGATCTGATAATTACCCGTACAATGTTATCGGTTACCAAGAGCAGTAGTATGTGGCATGTAAAACTTTACAAAAATAAAATTCACCTTTACAGATCTGTCTATAAATTGAGTGGTGTAGTCATTTACTGGCTTGATTACCTGGAATGAACTTTTCACTTGAAGGTGTTCGTTTATGTTGTTGGTCCTAAAAAACACAAAAGGGAACATCCTTTTCAACATTTTCAACAGCAAAAACAGTGCATAACACTATGCATCCCATGCACATTTAACCATGCCACATTTCCACATTGGCATGGTTACAAAAGACTACAAGTTAAACAAATATCAGTAGAGTGACTAAACACCTGGCAAATGCTCTTTAGTTTAAGACTTGCTACCTTGTGACTAATCAGCTGCTTTACCTGGCAAGGGGCTACAGGGCTGTACATGATTGGTAAAGTGGGGCCACTACTCCTGTCAAATGAGTGGGTACTCGGAGAAGGCTGGTAGCCCCTCGGGGGCCACTGGCTGTTAACAGGACTCCAGTGCTCCGAGTCTGAGTGGGGTAGTGGACCAACTTCTTGAGCAGCTCTGGTGTTGAGTACTGGTGTCATAGGGGGCCTGTGGAGCTGGACAGTATGTATGGAACTCCTCGCGTCACTGGATTGAGCCTGACGGAATAAATGTTAACAGTCACAATTCAGCATCACATGACTGCTATACTACCGGTCATCATAAACACGGTTTTTAACACATCTAGGTTTCACTAATGGTTATATTAAAAAAGAGAAAACATTACCTTGTTTGATTCTTGTCTTTGTGCTGTTGGATTTTTACTTCCTGAGTAAGGTAATGTGACCTTCGATTCAGTCGCTTGATCTCTCCTGATGGGAGAGGATGGGGAGTGGTTGCTTAAATCCTTCATGAACTGAGGGGTTGCGGGATGAAAGTTAAAGGGAGGCGAGGGCTGTGGCCTATTAGCTGTAGTTCCACTGTTAGTTGGGCTGACTGGAACAAACCGTGGGCAGAAAGACCCTGGAGGTTGAGCAGGATGATGCAGAGGATCCAGTCTGATACTTGGCGTGGGATGAGGCCTGCTCACTGGGTAACCAATGTTAGTTGGGCTGCTCGGAACAAACCCTGAGTGGATTGGTCCCATGTGATGAGAAGGGTGCCGCGGTGGACCCAGTCTGTCTCTGTGGCACAGTTCGGGGCTTTGAAGTGGCAACATTCTCCTGGGTGGTGGGTGAGGAAGCTGGTTAGGGACCTGAGATGGCTTCATTGGAGTCTCCTGGATAAAAGAGCTGATATGGGGTAGGGAGCACTCCTGGAGTGCGAGGTCCTTCACTGAAAACATAAGAAACAATTGTGCATTATGGTCTGAAGTCTCTCAAAGTCTCTTTGGTGCCACTTAAAGCTCAAATGTGGACAGGACTGACGTGTCATGTTGTCATTTTGCAGCCAGCTCGGGCTTGAGATGTCACACAAACCAGGCAGCATTTAAGCCTACAAGTATTCTAGTTGGCTACAACAGGAGATTGGTGTTCTCACATGTTAGAAATAGTCCGTTTAGCTTAGAAGAGGGGTTGCACCTACAGAGCGCACAGGGGAACTGACTGAGTTTATGCACCAATATCAATATGTCATCGAAATGTCTCAAAAATTACCACACAACACAAAACTATAGGAGGGCCCTCTTTGTCACGACATGAAGATGTTTTTCTTGTTATACTATTTTAGCACAAACAGTTTCGTCACTTTTTTGGGATGTATGCTTAATAATTTCTAAAGCATGCTCAATAAATGACATAGTTTTACTGTATATCTGTTTTGAACATGCTCCAGGTGGAAGGCATTAGATCCTGTTTTAATTAGAGCTGTAATATGTTGCTTAACTAATGTAAATGACAACTACATGACAATGAACGATGAACATAACGTATCAGATTTCAACAAAGTCATTGTTTGCATTGCATGCATGCATTTGTTTTTATTTTTAAATAGACTTAGGGTTGGTTGATGTGGTCAAAAATAATATTTATTTTGTGTATTTACTGAACAGTTATGTTCTAAAGCACAAATAAAGTTGGCTCCACCTCTGCTAAAACTTGGACTGTGGTTGCTTTTCATAATACATGTAATACACTTCCTTCCTTGCAGCAAAGATACGAAAGAGATGTGAGTAAGAGACACGAGGACGGACAAGCTGCAGTGAGTCAAACCTACTGGTACGAATGTCCATAGAATTTATTTAAGAACAGTTTCAAAACCTGACAGTATTCATTTAGATATGTAAATTGTTTAATACAGACGATTATTACTGTTGTTTAATAATATTTCAATAGTTGTTTCAATATTTCTTTTAAATCTTCTATTTTATGTACGATCAGTCTCATCATAATTTGTCATGATTGCCTAGACTATTTATTTAATTGCATTATTGTTACATGCACAAAAATACTCTACATAGTAAGAACGTGTGCATGTTGATTGTATTGGAAATAAATACAAACATAAAACTGTTAGGGATTAGTCACTTAAATATATTTTAATACACACAGATGTGAAAGCCTGCATTTTATAAAGATAATACACAAAGATAAGAAACACAGACACATTGTCTCATCTCTGCTTGGGAGCTACACTAGTTGCAAACACCTGTCTGTGGGAGGAAGAATGGTCAGAGGCACCCAGTTCTGACTGTCGCTCTAGTTACATAAATAATATTAGTTGGGAGGGGGAACAGGGTGGAATAATTAATTTTCTTTTAGGGCGTGTCTCCTAGGAATTGGTTGGGCCGCGTACCGAGAGACTGGGACCAGTCTGAGCACCAACAAGGATGCACCAAATCTAAACCACGGTCACGTCCCATCATATAGTCCACCAATCACATTGCTTAATGTAAAACAAATATAACCTCTTGTAACCTTTGGTCATTACTCTTTTTGGGGCGAGAAAAGACAGAGTAACAGCACTCTGCTGAGTGTGGCTTCTCAATCCAACAAGATCCTTGTACAAGTATTATTTTAATTACTGGTATATAATTCAAAGTAAACTTCTTAACTGAGAGAAGTTGTTTATCTTCTGTCCTAAAGATCATTTTGATACACGACAAAACAAACTGCTGCTTTGTGGGAAATTAAATTAGATTCACACACACAATGTGACGCCACATTATATTGCATCTTACCATGTAACTGTGTTGTATTATATTATCTGTAGATACATGACACTAGAGCTGTGAGAATAAACTGTGTGAATAAAGAATAATTGTAATTTGAATAAGTTAGGTTTTCAATCATGTCAAACAGCATTTGTGCATAGGAGCTGCAAATGTTTATATTTAAAAAACATGTTTGTTCGGCGCAAGCATCCTTATTATCATCATTATTATAATAATAATAAAACGTATTACAATACTAATACAGTGTTATTAACCAAAACATCACCACCTGACTGCAGGATACAGGAGATTTAACTTAATTAGACCCACCTTTACTCCTCGGGGAAAAGTATTCTGAAAGTGTTCTGCAAGAAAAGCCAGAGGGGGGGAGGGGGGGAGAGAAACTTGAATCAAAGTTTTGTTGTCACCAAGACGACAATAATGCAATTTAACGATTTAATGTAAGTGCAGTTTTCAAACCAGACGATAAAGAACCGACAAATCGTGAAACATGAGTTTCCCTATCGTAGCCGAAAACAACAAAGACACCTGCTAGTCAATTCCTGCTTGGCCACGAGTTACTTTTGACCTGCGGTTGTGTCTTTTTGACATAATTTCTGAGCGATACCACACCCACAAAACCCTCCATCACAAACAAATAAGCGTTTAACTAAACAACACGTTAACGCGGCGATAAACATGAGCGGTGTTTATGCTAGCATCTAGAAAACAGCTACCTAACGCTAGCAAGGAAGCTGTCACCGACTAATACATGTTCACGTTGTCTTAACATCACTGTTATTAGTTAGCATTAAGTATTTTCAGAGCGTAACATGGCGGTCTTCCTCACAGTGTCTGGCTAACTTTACCATACAACTGCTAACGTTAACTAGTTAATCAATATTAACTGAATATTAGCCAGCTGTTGTTTCAGGAAGTGCTGTTTAGCTAGCTAGCTGACGCGCTAAATAACACTGGAGTGTAAACAAAGTCCAAGGATTTACTCACCGAGTGTTTCCTTGATTTTCTGTTGCTCTTCTCATTTTGGTGACTGTACAGTCTGTCAATAACCACAGACAAAAAGAATAACGGACTCACAGCTCCCATGCTAAAATCAGCTCATCAGTGTGATCTTCTCCCGCCTGCAGCCGAATCTACATTACACGAACTGCATTGTGGGACTTGGAGTTCAACATTAGTACAGTTTGGGTTATTCTAACGAGTTCATCTTTCCACAGAATATTTTATTTTAAAACTTTCTAATATGTGTCATGGCTTTTCAATACGGCTGATTTTAAATCAGTGGTTGTTGTTTTACTGACACTGACCAGAGGAAATCTTTCCCTGTTATCTGTTTGATATGGTCGGGCAACGTTGTTTATGTAATTATTAGGATAAAATGCTTTTTTTCAGAATAAACAAGCTAAATGTATATTTTGGCACTGTTTCCCATTTTATTTTTTATTATTCTAATTTATCAATATTACTTTAATTATGCTGGTGATAATTTCAGACTATAAATGAACTGATCAGCTTAGAAAAACCTGGTCAGTAAGTAAATATGAATCAAAAAGACTTTGACCATAAGCTAGACTTGGTGTAGTAATTCCAATCACTATGTGGACATTTTTTTATTTATGACAACTATACTATAGAAACTAAAATTCATCCAGACACAAGCAGACACGAAAACATTAGTTTGAACATAGTTGTACATGTATTACAGGTTTCAGGGTACATTTAACCAATGCAGAGGGAATTACATTTAAAAAAAGAAACATGGCAGTACTGTAAGACATAATGGGATATTTCAAACCAAATCCCAACTGTGAGGCCAGCTGGAGGCATTCAGAGTAGAAACAGGAGCTGGAGGCACATAAATACTAAGACACCAAGAGGCAAAGACAGACCAAAGGCAATCATACAGAGTAACAAAGAGAATGGTTAAATTCAGACCTTTTATCTTTGATTAATCGTGCTTCACAACAGTAGTCTACTGTGAAACTGGAGGACTACAATCCAAATAATGGATTAATCACTTGCAATACTGACAGCAATACAGTGTTTGGTAATGTTCAAATTTAAAACGAAACGCGATGTTGCATAAAGAGAAAAATACAAATTGTCAGACACAACACAGACATATACAACATACGAGGACACTGCACAAATACCATTCATAGACAGAGAAAGTAAGAGAAAAGGACTGTTAAACTGTCCTAACTGCTCTCAAGAGATTGCAAAATTACATCTTTTATCAGTGGAATGCATCAGTTCTGAAAAGTGAGACAGAAAATATCCACTGCAGGGGTCCATTTAATAGACTACAACATGTCATAATGAAGTCAGTATGATCAGACACACATAACTTCCCTACTACCACCAGTGCATTTGAAAAACAGTATTTCACATAGACATACAGTATAAACATGGGCAAACAGAGGCCACAACAAGAGGAATCCTGTCTCCATTAATTGTCTGCACTGTGTTAGATGTGTGTGTGTAGCACCAAGACAAATAGAGTAGCCTGACATTGTATAACAGACTGTGGCAGAGAGACCACAGCCTGGAAGTTAACATCCCAGGCAGTGGACAGCATAGCTAAGACTTTTTTCTTTCGCAAAACAAAAACTATATTATTTGTTTTAAGTGGCAATGTTTTAACTATTAAAAGGGACTATTACTTAAATATTCAAGTACAGGATAAGAAGGTGAAACCTGCCTTTATCAATAATATTATCCCTTTCAGTTGATTGATACCTTCTCAAAAGTTGGGATATTATTGGACCATTTTAGCTAAAATTATTTACAATCTCTTGAGAGCTGTGGCTCCCCTGGTCCTAATGTATCCCAATTGTTCCCCCCTCTACTATCCCTGTACTGTGCAAGTAGAGTGAGGTTGCCTTTGACAGCAATCTACAGTGTACTCTTCACGCATTACAATCCAAAATAAATTAGGATTTAGGAAAAACACTAATCTGAGGCCAACTGTTAGGAACAACCTACACTGTCATACACATAGAGGGCTTTTCTGTTGCTTTACTTCTTGGCCTTTCCCTGAGCAGCCACAGCCTCCATTGCTTTGCGTACAGTCTCCTCGTCTCCCAGGAACTGCATCGGCTTCAAGGGCTTCAGGTTCTTGTCGAGCTCGTAGAGGATGGGGATTCCTGTTGGCAGGTTCAGTTCCATGATGGCTTCATCCGACATTCCTACAGGTGGCAGCACATACAAACAGAGCGGTTATGGATAAGTTAGGGAATTTGCAGTTTTTTTTTTTATTATAAATATGTTATCACTGTGTGACAGAGTTTCAGTAAACATTGTGACAAAGGGGAAAAAAGTACTTTAAAAAAGTACGTTGAAATCTACACATGCCACCTGCGGTCCTATTTCTTATATTCTAAAGCTGTGAAGCCATAACACATGAAATTGACAACATCTTGTCAACTACAATGTGCATCATACCTTACATCCTGACCTAGCGCCTTTTCCTCTATATTTTGCGGAACCTCAGTAGCGGTGGCTACTAGTCTTGAGTCTCCCTCGCTAGTCTAGCTACGTATTCCACATCCAAAAGACTCAAGTCTCGGAGGAAAATAAATAATTTAAAAGTGCACGGACAGATTTGCTTGCTTTCACCACCAAAGCTGCTGCTGTCTTACCGATATGCTTTGATCTGCAGTAAGAAATTAGCATTATAAGGCTCATGTAAGTTTCACAGCTCCAAACTGATTTTTATTTTTTTTAACAAAAATGTCTCTTTTGATTGTAAAGGTTTCTGACCCCTGGCCTACAAGAATTAAGCAAAGCTTTGCACGTAAACTCTATAACACTACCCACCCTCTAGGTGCTTAACAATCCCCCTCAGACTGTTTCCATGGGCAGCGATGAGCACCCTCTTTCCCTGTTTGATCTGAGGGGCGATCTCCTCGTTCCAGTACGGCAGTGCCCGTGCAATGGTGTCCTTCAGGCTTTCACAGGAAGGAAGCTGGTCCTCAGTCAGGTCTGCATAGCGACGATCCTGCAAGGAAGACAATCTCAATATGTAAAATACATAATAGACCAGAAGACTAACAGCAAAAAGATAAATAAATAATTGATCCTTGAATCCTCTTCCACGAAGACTTATTGTACACTTATTTGAGAATAGAAAGCGCCTGAATGCAAGCTAGCAGTTTGTGTGAATGATGGTGAATATAAATGAATTTGAGTGAGTGAGGACTGAAGCTGTCTACGAGACTCCTTGTGTCACTTTTAGAGCAATATGGTGACATGTTGTTTTTGTCTTCTGCAGGCATGACAGAATCAGCCATCTCTTTATCTTTTTTTTTTACTTGTCTAGCTGACTTCTGAACAGTTTATTTCCACCTTGACTGAACTTTGAACTTGAACCTAGCAGACCTCATTCATGCCAGTCATATATTAACTCACCTTGGACATACTATTAGGTAATAACACTGGGGCACATGTTACCAAATAGTCGGGGACTATATCCCCAGTGCGTGATATGGCTGTCAGATTAGATTTACACTGTTGTATGTGTAAAATATTTGGGTATTCAAGCTGACTGTGCTGTGAACAAAAAGACTGAGACACATGACCTTAAATCCACTATTTTCACTCTAATCATTTCTGCTGATTTCAGCTGATTATAGGGCCCGACTGCAGCGATCAGCTCTAGTCATGCCTCTTCTTTGTTATGTCTGTGTGCAGTCAGTTCGTCAATATGTACAAAAGCATTCATTTCCTCACAGGCCAACAAAGCTCCTTGATTGTGTGTATGCACTGTAGATATCATATCTTACCTTGCTAATGATAGTATAGTAGTCATGGTCTGGGCCCATGGAGGGAGGAGGGATATCAAACGAGCGTCTCCAGATCTTCACCTGAGCCTCTCCGTGCTTGGCGGCCGTCTCCGCCTTGTTTAGCCCTGTCAGGCCTCCGTAGTGGCGCTCATTGAGACGCCAGGTCCGGTACACTGGCACCCACATCTGGTCAATGCCGTCCAGGACCAGCCACAGTGTCCTGATGGCCCGCTTCAGCACAGAGGTGTAGCAGATGTCAAACTCAAAGCCAGCATCTGTAAGAGTGAGAGACTTGTGAGAGGAGTTTATTAAAGCTGTTAAAAGAAATTCCACTTGGATACTTTGTTTCTATCAGCTTTGTTTAGTTAGTAAATCCCCCATAATGCCTTCTGGGAATAACAAGTCCCATAATAACAAGTGAATTAAACATAAATTATAAATGATATAACGAGGAGAGAACGAAAAAGCAACTCTCTCAAACTGAAAATACAAGATGTTTTATGGCTACATACAACAACTCGTAGCCATGAACCATTTCTCATAGCTAACGGGAATGTCTTTATTGTGCTTATTTGAACGACTAACCGTACAAAACCTGAAGATATTCAATTTACTGTCAAAAAATGACAAATGATCACATTTGAAAGGCTGGACGACAACAGAGAATGTTTGTGCTTGAAAAATATTAAAACAATTAACCAATTAACAAAATAGCTGCTGATTTCTGTTCTTTAAATGACATAATAAATCCAATAATGGTTGCCATTCTTACTCTGGTTTAATAAGGCTACTGTCCTATGTCTATTTCAGGTATTTCTGCATGTTCAAGATGCTTCATTTACAGTTTAATTCTTTGAAAGCTTTTTACACATAATAAAGAAGGATCCAACATTTTTATGATATATTCTATATAAACTCCCCCCTGCTCCTTGGCCCCTGTTATAGCACTATACCACTGCAGCCACATAAAAGCATCACTTCAGCACGTCTGCACAGGGGGGCGGTCTATGGGGCTGTTATGCAATCGCAGCGGTGCTCTGGCCTGCAGTATTTCAGAGATATTTCTGGAGCAAAATGCATGAGTTCCTCCTCACCTTTCAGGGCCTGTCCGCCTCTCTTCGCCTCCTTTTCCCCGGTTTCGCTCAAATCTGCGTCGAACCAGCCGCAGAACCGATTCTCCTGGTTCCAGTTGCTCTCTCCGTGGCGGATCAGCACTAATTTATAGGCAGCCATGATTGATTACAATGAGCCTGAGTTAAATGAAATAGTTAACTGAACAAGCTTTAAAAAGCGGATGCGGAGGATGTTGAATTGAAATAACTCCACACTCCAGAGAAGAAGACAGGTCCACTCTGTTGCTGTCAAACCGATGAGGACTTTTATCCAGCGGATTGGTTCCTCCCCTACTTCCGGGTTCTCTCAGCCAATGAGATTCCTCCAAAGTACGTATCTTTTATTTCTCGACCAATGACAGCGGTGGGCGTCAGCGGCGGGGACTGTTCCCTGACCTTCATACTGTATGTTGTACTTTATTGACTTTTCACTGTGTTTCTATCTATCTATCTATCTATCTATCTATCTATCTATCTATCCATCTGTTTAAACGTATTGTTACATTATCACAATTATTATTATTATAGGACTTAATGTGACTTAAAACATAAATGTTTCACTTATTTGCAAACCTATGTTAGAGGTAGAATTTTAAAAAAGCTGACAGAGGGACTTTTAGACTTTAGACATTTCTTTATTCCATAGTTACGCATTGAAAAAGACAAAAGAAAAAGAAATTAGTTGTGTGAATCAACCTGAGCTCAACACCATCTGTATAGAGAATTCCTTTCACCTCCCTATACTCTAAATAATCAGTGAATCTGCCCTTTAATGGATTTTCTGCACCTTTTATCTCCTCTCTTTCTGTCCTCATCCAACTGTTGCTTTTTTCCCCTTTTCATCTGTTGGTGGTGACCTTGTCCATATAGCTGGTGTAGTTACTATAACCCACGAAAGCACCAGCATGAGCTAGTGTAACAATGATGTAATGTTAAGAGTGGTATTAAAGACATAAACGGTTGAGGAGAGACAGTGCTCGTAAGACAGGAGCAAATTTGGGATAAGATATGAGAGATGGGAGGTGTGATGTATTAAATAAAATATGACAGAGCATTAAAAGTGATTAATTTGTTACATTTGTTGCATTGTTTGAGCAGGTTTATGAATAGATGAAAGGAAAGAACACCTTTCAGATTGTTAGATGCATTTTGGCCCTTTAAATACTTCATATGCATTGCATAATGGCAACAAGGCCTACATTTGTAACATAAATATATGATAATTCTGCATCTAGAGTATATATATACATTTGCCTCACTGCTTATTTTACACTAAAAACATGGCTCCATCTACTCCATCCTCTATCCCCAACCATATCATAATAATTGACTGTTTTTATCATGGTGATTGGTATGTCTGGGATCAATATACTGCTGACTGTGTGATGTCAACATTTTATTCTGCTTTAGGCTATGTGTGTTGTTTTTTTCCTAGTCAAACACTGCTCCATTTTTCTCACCTAAAATGAATGTAGAGTTCATTCTTCACTTAGACAGTCTTTATAGTCTGCAGGGCAGTTGTCACAAGCATGTATGAATACACAACAAATAAAATATACACAGTGTGAACTCTAAGAGAGTCAATTTTCTTTGTTGCCACTTAGATTTAATTCAAAGGGCCTCAAATGAAAGGAAAAACAAAAGTGTAACATCACACTAATAAAATTACCAATGGCTTTGTTCGTGCCCCAGTAAGTCATTACAGGGAGACAGCCTGCACAATACCAGGGAACCAACAAATTAAATTAATTAATTTTATCACTTTTGCCTGCATTTCTAACCTTCACATCACAAAATGTCTTCCATAAAAAAGGCCTTATTGTTTATTCTCAGAATACAGATTTGTATCTCTGCTGTCTTGCTGTATGAGTGTTTCAGATCCTGAACATGAGCCAAGCATTAAAGGAGATGAAGAAACACCTCCAACTGGTGCAGCAACCTGGAGCTACAACAGGCTAAACCATTTTTGTCTCTACAGACACTGAGGATGCACATACATATACAAAGACAGGCTGGCTGAGATTTAACACTAAAGCACAGTCTTGACAGAGGAAAGAGTGGTTTCACAAAACAAACCCAACTCTCAAGGTACACTTACTAGCTTTTTCAGGACCTTTTAACCAGACCTACAAAATCCATCTTTTAAGTCAAAAGAGATGATAAATCCTAAAAGTGCTGTGGATGAAATCATAACAGCAACTGAGCTGTCAACAGATCCGTCTCTATGATTGAGCCAAGTCTATCATCTGATGAAGGCCAGTGAAATTGTAGAAATCTCTGTAAAAAGCTTGCAAGAGGACCTATAGAACTGTGATTGTTTTGTCAAACAATAGACTGAGGATCGCGGAATAAGAAAAACATGGGGAAAAGTTCCTCTTCAGGTAAAATTAATTATAAAAAATGTCTCAGTTGGCCTTGGTGTGAACTCCAGTTATTCTGATGTTGCAAGTAAACATTGAATCCCTCTAGTGATTTCTTCTCACCATGTCTGAGATTAATTATCTAAATTCTATTGACACATTACCAAATCTTGTTCAAGCTATTGCACAATTGCTGTTTTATTATGTGACATAACATTACAGTTGTTTCCACTTGCTATGCAGAATATGAACCTGCTACATAGATGTTTTGAACACTATATTTTGTGCCGCTGCCTTCATTTGACATCATTTTAGTCTACATACTGATATACAGTGGATTTGAAAAGAAGCCATTTCACAAGTAGATTTCTAATGTTCAGCTTCTGTCTAAAAGCCTGTGATCAGCCGTGACGCAATCTATCATAGCATTAGAGCCTGGAATAAATAGGACTTATTAAAAATAAACTAATTTTAGAGAACCTTTCTGTTAAATCAGTGAACCAAATAAATAGTCAGATTCATGTTTTCTGAAGCCCTATTACACCACCTAGTGGATCAATTAAATCATTGTTTATAATGTTCAAATGCGTAGGAATTTTCTAATCAATCAAAGAGACATGAAAACAATCAGAAACTATGTTGTCTGTAATTTCATACCTTTAGATATCGTGTTTTTCTGCCGCAATATTTGTCTATATTTCTGAACATTGTTGAGGAATGTTCATTGGATAGTTATTTTTATTTTATTAATACATCAAACAAAGCAAACATATATTTTTTCCAGTATCATAGACACATTTGCTCATTTATGCCGTGCAAACTGAATGAATATGTTTTTAATTTGAAAGGGAAAATAAGCTTTTAAATGCACTGTTTTCTGCCTGTGACGCAATAGACAGAGTTTGGACTTCTGTGTGTGAAAACTGTGGGAAAAGTGATGCTGGGAAACAGTTCTGAGCCATGTGAGCTATTATCAGGAACGAATGGAAGGAATGTTTGTTTTACTTCCCAGTGTGTGTCTGCTTACACTGCAGTGTCTGTAAGGAGTTTTTTCTTTTGAGAGTGTCTAACCTTGAATTGTAGTCATCGGAAAAGCAATCATCACCTCTAATTGCCTCTTTAACATTATGTTTTAGTGAGGTAAAAACAACAGGTGATGAATGACGGAGGTGTTGCTAATGTAAGTTTCTAGTCCGTGCCCAAGACTCAGTAAATGTCAGACAGGAAATTAGTGAATTCATCCACCCAGTTAAAAAAAACTCTCCCCCTCCCTTTCCCTCTAACTTTGTCAGACTCATTCACTCTGTAACATGCTCTCAACATCTTGGCTTAAGATTGGCAGAGTGAAGGAAACAGTGGTATTTTCAAGGCTCTATAAATAGCATCATTTCCCACCACTGGCTGCCATTGCCCTCATGCAACACATGAACACTGTGCCCATTTAGAAGTATTGTGCGGGCAAAAGCTGCTGAAGCAGATGTGAAATCAGTAACCTCAGTCACCATGTTAGGAAACTATAAACTGCCGAGTGACAGAGGCCAACTACAATGCCTGCACGCCTGGAACACTGTGCCGATTCATCCCTCGCACAGACAGGAAATGTCAGTCTCAGATTCCTGCTTAGATCTTTACGTGAAGCCGTTTGCACATCTCACCCATTCCCTTCTTGCTTTTTTCTGCTCATTCACTTGTTCTTTCAGTCTCCATCTGTTTTCCCAGCTCCCTCTCCCTCTGCAGTGGAATGTGCATCTCAGCAGTATCTGATGAACGTGTGGTTAACAGGGTGCTGCTGTGTGCGTTTGTCTGTGTTTTCATGTTTCATGTGCGTACATGCAGCCTCCCAAACGGAGACAGTAGACAAGGAGTTTCAACAGGAAGGAAAAAAAGAGGCAGACACACTTGGATAGGATGGAGCACATCCACAGGGAATTACCCACTCAGAAATATGGGTGGGTAAGAAAAACGAGGCTTTGTGAGTCCTGAACAGCAGTAGGTTATAACCAACCAGTTTTACACACGTGGTTCAGCAAACTCAGTGTAGAGTGAGAAAGTCTTGCAAAAAGCCTGGCAAAACAAGGCTGAGATGAACATCAAGTCTGTGCACAGTAGCTGTGATAATTACTCCTGTAAGTACTGGCTGTGAAGAGATTCCCTCCTGAAGTTTTTCCAAAGTAAGAGATTGGGAACAAAATCTAAAGTTCTCGTTCTGTGAGAACATGTTATCCAAAGTTGAGTTTAATGCTAATATGGGGCGTCAGCAGTCACTGAAATCAAGAGGGTTTCTCACAAATTAAAAATATTTTTAGATCAACATTTTCATGTGTCTCTACAGTGTTTCCTTGGTTAACTTGGGTGGAGGGATAGAAAAGTCTTGTACAAAAAAGCCTATAACTTTGGAAATTAGCCACTTGATTTGACTAACTCTAGACTGTTAGCTTTGGCTAGTAAGCATTTTTGCACACCAGGACTGCAGATTTTAGCCCTCATCACTTACATTGCAATAACTTCAGGCACAAATCTCTCATCTTCACAGCAGGTATGAACAGGAGGAACAGTTACAGTGACCAAAAGCCCTTCCAATGTAAATACGGTACTGTCAGTAATGTTTTAAAAGAGACTTGAAAAAAACATATCCTTTAAGATAATGAGTCCTTTCTCTCTCTTCTTTTTTGCGTTGTGAATATTTGAACAAGTGTGTAATATTCATGTTGTTTATGACCAAATTAAATACAGTCTTGAAGCACTTGAAGTGGCGGAGAATATTTGTACATTTTATTGTAGCAAGAAGACCTGAATTGAATCCCTTTTATGGCAATCATCTGGCTTGGTGAAATAGATCTGAGCAAGACATGCAGGGTCGCTGCCAGGTCCATTGAGGCTTTTCTGCAGTTCACACTATGTTCTGTACATCACTATATCAGGACACGGATGAAAGAAAAAGATGCATTTTTGCAAGTTTAATTTATTTTGAAAGTGGGACTAAAGACATTCTTACCATTTCTCTATTGCAAATCCCACCAGTGATATTTAATCATAGCCATGAGTCACAGGCATGTAATTGTTATCCGTTTGGACTTCAGAACTCACTTTTAGATTCTCTGGCAGGAACTCTATCCGTTTTTCAGTTAATTGACATCAGTCCATGGCAACAGCCTGCATGATGCTTTCAGGGAGGGCCAAAAAAACGTTTGGAGGGGTTACGATGACTATTGGACATTTGGTCTCTTGCAGACGGGTGGGAGAGCACATACAGGAAATGTCTCTTTGGTTGAGTAGCCAAGATAAATATCACACAGTTGGCACTCCAGAGAAGTGCCTGGCTCTATATACGTCCTTACACCAAGTTGTCTAGGTTTTCTTTACTGTCTGTGTAGCTGGAAAGAAATACAACAACCTCACTCTTGTTGTGCCCACAGCCTTAATACTAATGGATTCCAAATTTGCGTTATTACCTGTGATTACAAGGGTTTCTTGTTTGGACAGGGATGTGATGCTTAAGGATTAAATTAAAAATGAGCTCAAACACAAAATCTGAACAGATGTGACATCGATAACTTGTGGGCTGTGTAATCAAAAGGAGCCTGTTAATGTGGTAAGCTCAAAAAGATTTCAGGGTAAATGTGGAGAATGCTTTTTTGGCCTTAATTGTCAGCATACGCTATAGTTGTGAGTCATCCAAAAACTTACATGATTCACCATGGTTACTCTCAATATCAAACTGAACCCTGGATTCAGTGCTTTGTTTATGCAGCACACAGGGTTGTTGTGTACTGTCTCCATTTGGTTGTATACAACAGTGTTTCCACAGGCGCCGACACGTGGACAGGACAACACTTCTGGGGAAATCTCAGAGGGGGAGAGGGTGAGAGGGAGTTTGGAGGGGGGGGACTCCTGTCCTTCTTTAGAAGTCCTAGATTTATATCACAGTGCTGCAGCTGGTTAACGTTAACCCTTCAACTCCCGTAACTCTGGCCACAAATGTTACCTCAGCACACACATACACACTATATTTTCCTGTTGTCGCGTAGAAAGCGCTCTCTAACCCAGAGGATGAGATGCTGTACAGTTGTTCTTTCAGCATGATTTAACATGGAAGTACAAACTGTATAAAATACCCAAATTACGTACAAATTAGTCAACAGACTTTATGGTTTCCCTGCTTGCAGTCTGATCTGTCTCTGTCTTTATATGGTCACTTTATTAGTGCCTCTAGGCACCAAATATGTCAAGGATATTTCTATGAATCATGTAAGTAATGTAGTCAGATTTCCTCAGAAGGAAGCAAAAGATACTTCTCTTTTTCTACCATCTACCACTTATCATATTACTTCCATTTATTGTGTTGCTGCTGCTTTTATATTCTGTTCTCTGTGTGCATTTTTGTTGCCTTTGTTTTGATTCTTGATTATGAATCTGGAGCAGTGACCATACAACATTTTATATAACTCATCGCATTCAGCAGGAAAGAGAAGCGCCCCAAAAAGTAGAAGTGTGCCATCTGCAGCCTTACATGCTTGACCCATGCAAAGTAAACATACAAATTTGTCTTTAAATAGTGGTACAGTCTTGCTGACTGTACAAAGGCAACCAGGGCAACTTGTCTGCAGCATAGTTTTTTAAGAATTGCATGCGGACTGGAATAGATCAGACATTGAATCATCTTCCACTGCTTGGCTTCGTTTTTATTGGCTGAACGTTAGCCCACCTCCAGAACCCCAACAGACTGTTCCGGTAAGAACAAGCCTCTTTCCAGATTATTACACACACGTTTCCAGAAGTAGGATAACTCTCATGCAACTCTATCATACAGTCCATGCATTACACATTGTCTGTGTGTGTGTGTGTCTGTGTCTTGTGTGTGTGTGTGTGTGTGTGTGTGAGTGTTACTCTCTCATTGTCTTAAAGATAAGTCTGAGGATCTATGTCTTTCATGTGGTCAAGTGGCATAGCATATAAATGATCCCTGCTGATTGGCCAAGGCTTTTATCTCCCAACAGGAAGTTCCTGAGGGCTTCCGTCACTAGTCCCTCTAAATCTGTGTTTCATTTGGAAAAAGCCACCAAAAGCAACAATATGTGCATCCAGCCCAGCTCTTTCTCTAAATTTAACTCAAAGTACTCAAACACAATTAGCAAAGCATTTCACAAAGCAGCTTGTCTAAATGCTTCTTTGCACCAATACACAATCACAACCAAAGAAACATCTCACTGGCTCTCACTTACTGGAATTTATTTGTACACTTTTTGCTCTTTGGCTTTACATAATGAACACTTAAGGAATACTTTAGTTGTCATACACTTTGTAGCACCAATCACACCCATATTTGTTGGGTTGTTGTTGTTGTTGTCACAACCTTATTGAGTGTACAGCATTCTGACAGAAGGCACTGATAGGAACAGTTTGCAATGTTTGACTCAGACAAAAGGAGATCCACAAGTGTTTTAGTCTGTAGCTGTTCAGTATAGTTTGCTGTCGTACAAAAACACGTAAAACACATAAAAATATATACTTTAAAAAAAAAAGAATCGACAAAAAGAATCCCTTTGTGAAAGCAGCTGTAGTGATCCTTTTTTTAGATGGATAGTTACCCAACACAATTTTACCAAACATATGTTAAGGCCATTGTAGTGTAAACTTAACACTGACTGTACTGCTAGCCCACTATAATAGGTCCATACAGGAATATTATAATGATCCTTTATGAGGGAAAATTACATTAGATTACAGGGAAACAAACCTAAGAGGTGAAGGCATGGCCTTAACTACAACTACAAACATATGTCACTTGTGCCTTATTAAAAGGGAACAATACTTTGCCCTTCCTACCCATCCTGGGTAGCTATAGGCCTCTGTACCAGGAGCTGTTTTGGGTGTTTTCATGTCACCCTTTAAATACACTGATTCTGGGAAGACTATAGACAATAAACCTGTGATTAGAGTAGCTGTTGAGTTAAATTACAGTGAAGTTAACTATTCCTCATCTTGCTGTGGATACCCAACTCAAGGACCCCATACCCTCCCCTCCCCTCCCTCCCCCACCACCACCTTCCCTGTCGCCATCAGTCTCATCAGATGACCGTCTGTTCTCCCCGGCACTTCCTGCACGCACCATAAATAACCGACAGGAGGTAAACCAGGCAGCACAGACAGGCGAACACGGCGGCCGTCAGGTAGATCTTGTACATACAGGGGTGCTTGTACTGCTCCAGGTTGCAGTACGAGTTGCGTTCCGTCTTGTAGATCATGACAGCTATGGCCGGCAGGTAGAGCACCGCGGCGGCCACGTCGTGCGCCAGGTTGGTGGCCAACCAGCGCTCCCCTCCCAGCAGCGGGACGAGGTCCTGCTTGTCCAGGAGGGTGAGGAAGAAAAGGGCGAGGGTGAGGAGCCAGAAGAGGACCGCCACGAACAGGACGAAGTGGATGGATCCTTCGTATTTGTTGGCGGCGATGGTGACCCACAGGCCGGCTCCAAACGCGATCTGCAGGATCCGGACGATTCCCAAAAAACTCTTGAGGAACTTTAAGATATTCGTCCTCACCTGCGGCTGGGGAGGCTGTGGAGGTTGGGGTGGCATCTCTCTCCTCCTCCGGTCACTCTCGGTCCCTTTTTCCCGAACAGGGCGGGTGCTTTCTGCCAGCTGCAAACAGCTGGGGAAAAGATGGGCACAAAGTGGGGAAAGATCGGGGTGGGAGGCCGGGTTTGTGGTCAAACAATGAAGCCAAAAGTGGACAAGTTTAGGTTTAAGAAAGGAACTCTCTGTTCTTTCCACTGCCCCGGGGTTTTGAAATGAAAAACCTTCTTGTATGTTTCGTCTTTTCCGTTTCCTCTGTTGAATGTAGCGTCTGTGTTTAGGGGGCTGGATGATGGAGAGGGGGTGGTCTGTAATTCAAAGCCCGCTCCTCCTCTGCTAGATCCATCCCCGGCCACTCATCTGTTGATGTGTTTCCCCATGGTGCAGTTCCCCTGGGGTGTGTGTGTGACCTTTCCCCCTGTCTTTGCGCAGACAATAAGGCTTTATGACATGAAGAATGAATGTAAACATGCGTTTAAGGAGACAGCAAGACATTCAGACAGTGCGTAATCACTCTCAGACTCCCATTTAAACAATGTTTTAATTATTTCTAACTGAAGCCAGTATCATAGTATATAATAACTCTCTTATTCCCCTAGAAATAAAGTTTAAATTAAGAAACAAGTGCAAGTCTGTCTAAATAGTATTACATTATTATGTTTAGGGCCACTTTGCGTCATCTGGTTTGCGTGTTTCAGCACAGGATGCTCACATGTTTACTTCCCTCTCGGATAACTGACAGACGCTTCTCGTGTTAGCCAAGCTCATTGACGTCAATGCATTTCAGCGCACACGCCCTACGTGGCCAAGAGGCGGAGCAGACCTCTCCCCCCGATCCCCATCCCCTCACCCCTCCCCCCAAAACTCGCGATTGGTCTACATCAAGGCCATTCCCCCACCCCGAGAGGCGGGGACAGAAGCTCTCTCTGCCCTGATTGGTGGTTTGATGGCGTTGATTTGTGATTGACGGTCGGCTCGAGGACACAAATCGATCGCAGGTGAAGCTGGACTAACAGAGACTGTCCTCCCACGGTTCAGCCATTGCGGAGGCTTTTTCGTTGCAAAGGGACGACGAAGGGAGATGCTGTAGGAGCAGAGTGCGCTGGGTGTGTGAGTCCAACCGCGGGTAAGCAGGCCTCCTTTTCATTTTTCACATGACTCTCATGGGATTCCTGTTCTCTCTCTCTCCCCCCCCCCCGCACACACACAGCCTGGTGAAACCCCAGCATGGACTAGACTGTGCGGCAAGTTGTGTGGTCAATGCATCTTATTTTATCACGAATATTTGACTTAAACTTCCTTGTTCTTTTTAAGCGAGTCGATAGTATAAACAAAGACTTGGTTTTGCAAGAGCGCTGCAGCAGTGAGCCGTAACAGTTTGTTGTGTAAACAGTAGGCGCGGGGGGGGTGACGTTGGGTAATGTTAAAGTACTTCTAATGCAAAATGGGTTTGTGAATGTGTAGCAAAAGGCACAGGCGTGTCCTGAAGTAACCCACTGACTGTTGAGGAGTGGTGCTCAGGTTAATACAGATTCTTGCTCATAAGTTGATTATGAGGTAATGCATTGTTTTCCTTTTACCTGTCCTGTAAAAAGAAATATATAAGTCATACACATGGATGTTAAAAGTGCATTCACATAGCACAGGAATCTGTAACAGTCTCATAAAGGATTCATAGTTAATGTATAAAAGTAGGGGGCAGAGAGAACCTGCAGAAAGAGGATTAACTAAAAGGTGAAACTTTATTCCTGGTATAGTAAATAGTATGTTTTGACAAAATAATCCTGCCTCCTGCTCTCCATCTGTGAGATGATCTGCTGCTGTAGGAAGTCAGTAAGTGGACTTTTTACTTAAGATTATTTCGTCAAGCTGGAAACAAGGCTGTGTCGGTGGAAAGGCCTCTGACCCACATGCAATGATCTTGGCCACTAATGCCTCTTTGTTAGCGTCCCATTTAAAACCATGTGTAAGCGAAGGGAGATAAAGCTGACATCTGCAGTTTAATGGGCTTTAAGGCACAGGTCGTCACTCACTACCTAAAGTAGGATTAAAGAATCAAGACTGGCAGCTGACTGGCCGACTGTTTCAGCTGTCTCTAGGTGTTGTGAGGCACTCTCTGTCGTCATGTACTTTGTATGTTGTGTTATGTCAAGGTTTTTTTTTTTTGGTCAAATATTAATCAAAAATCTCCTACTGACTCCTCCACAGAGTAGAGAACAGTGTATGCCACCGTTTCCCGTCTTTCTCCGGATGGATCCCGGACCTGCCCCCGCTCCTGCGTCCGTGGTGGCGGGCCCTTCCTCACTGTGGCGGCTGGCCGAGAGGAGGAGCAGGAAGGCCGGCTCGGCGAACATTTTCAGCAACGTGAATCTGTGGCAGCTCCAGAGACTGTTCAGGGCAGCGGGGGACCAGGATGCGGAGCAGAGGGCCCAGCTGGTTTGGGGCCACGGAGATGAGGCTGAACTGGCTCAGGCATTGATAGGACTGAGGGCCCGAACTCACAGGAGAGGGTTGAGGACTAACGGACGGGAAGTGCTGGGCTCACACTGGCTACGAGCCTTCAATCACCTCAGGTAGAAAAACTGTTAGTGTGATGTGACTCCATATACATTCACAACATTAATCTCTTGGTATCCATGTTGTTGTTGTTGTTGTTTTTTTTTAACAAAACTACTCCCATTGTTCAGGATCGGGGAGAGCTCGACGAACAGCCAGGGGAAGGACCCCGGGGAGGAGAGTGATTCTGAGGCAGGGGCACACAGCAGTCCGGAGCCACACCGACAGTCTTCTGTAGGGACATCAGGAAGAGGTAAAGGGGCCACTGAAAGCCAGGGCCCTGCAGGGACTTCTGAGAGACCAGTTAGAACCAGCTCAGGATTGAGAAGAGGAGAGAACAACCCGGAGAGATACCTCCACAGAATACTGCACTGACTTGACCAAATCCTCCGAGACACAAAAACTGACTTTTTAGTCTGTACCTCTGAGAGTCTACCAGCAGTTAACAGTCCGCACAGCCTGCTGGTCTCTCCTGAATACCGCTATGATGAGTTCAGAATCTGAAACTCGGTTGAATTAACTTGACTAAACCATTTACAGTTACACAGGAAACTGTACTTCAGGTGGAAAGAATAGATTAGTTTCTCATAATGCCATAATGTCTGCCCTTTTTAACGGCACTGATCACATGGCAGAATACTGGCACTGCATTGTTAAGTCCACCTGAATAATAACAGCGGCACAAACCTCTGACTGGCTCCTGGAATCCCACAACTTTATAAAATGGTTGCCTCTCATGTACTGCCTTATATGTTCTCCTAAATTCATCCCACCACCCCCACTATCCATGCACACTGATAATTCTAGACAGTGATGTGACCTCAAATAGTTTTATAGTTCAGTGGTGTGAAAAGGTGAGTAAAGTTAGTAACTATGAACTTATTTAACTGATCACTGTACTGCAATAATTCTTTTTTTTTTTTTTTGAAAGATTTTGACCTAGTGTTTATTAGGCTAGAGTACTAATATTATAATGTGTGGCTACACTGTGGATGTAACAGCTGTTATATCCCCTTCCTGGAGCCAGTGGTGGTAAACATACACAAATGTTTTACTCAAGTAGAAGTACAGATATGTGTTTAATCAAAAAAAAAGAAAAAGTAAAGGTAGAAGTACTGGTTCAATGTCTTTACTCAATTAAAAGTTGAAAACTACAGACTCACAATGTACTCAACGTATAAAAGTAAAAAGTACTCTCTTGGATTCTCTGAAGGACATTTCTATCGGTGGTTTCTGTGCAAAGCTCACTGAAACTTCAAATAGGGTCTTCTCTTTTTTTTTTTCTTTCTTCGTGATCGTCATGTTACATCTGCCGTGTGTGATAAGCGCCGGTCAATGATTCCCCTCAAATGCATTAAAACTAAAGCAATGACTCTGTTTTTAAAATGTGAGTAGAAAGTATTCGTACTTTGTTACTTTCCAACTCTGCCTGTACTACAAAAAGCCACATATGTAGCTATATATATGTGAGATGATGTACTGTACTGTATGTATGTATGTATATTAGCTTGAACATATGTTAACTTCTTAATTGTTGTATTCACACTAATTGAAGTGTTAAAACTGAGATAAGCTTTACTCACTGTGTGTGTGTGTGGGTGTGGGTGTGGGTGTGTGTGTACTATTAATGGCTATGTTAGGTGTCATGAGATGTAGAAACGCATGTTGAAACATACATGCCACGGCACATTTTACAGACTCAAATGATTCTAATTCAATGTGTTATGCCATGAATGGAAGCCAGTCACTGGTTTGTATTTACTGAAAGTGTCAGGCGGTCAACTCTGCCTAGAGACCAAAAATAATAAATTAGAGCTGCAAAGCCAACAACCCTCACTGTGCAGGGAAAGTTCATTAAAATGTTCATGGTAACAGTGTTTAAACCTGCTGTACCTACAAAAGTCTTTATACCACCAACCTTATCACATTGCTGGAAGCTTAATGAAGCTTTTTGATACTGTTTGATTTTTAGATTTGTGGTAATAAAAAAGTGAGTCTTCGACTTGTTTGTCTTGTTTTCTTCTGTAACCAAATCAACATTTTTGCCTTCAGGAAGTGATGGAAATGCTTCACCATACGTTAAGTGAAATGACTTTAAATGGATGTGTAGGTTTTTATTAATATATTTTGTAATAAAAGATAACAGGAACCCATAATTCACTGTCATTTAGCTGAAGAAAGGTAGATATGTTTGGATGCTCATTATTGTTGCCCTACATCATGTGTATTACAGTTTACACACATTCACACCCATGAGCTGCAGCTTGTACCCACAGTCGGCCGCTGCTGACCGCTGAGCAGCTCCACTGGACCAGCTGGGTGTTAAGTGCATTGCTCAAGGGAACATCATTAGTGTTTTTTTGATGAATGGATAATAAATGACTCTATAAGAAACAAATACTGCCCTCCAGTGGCCATGTCCAGTAATGACGTTAACATGTTAAATCAGCTTGCAGTCACTAGATGGCACAAAAGGTTTTGTTATGGGAGTGTACGCTGAGTCAGGAAAGATTCATACTTGTTATGCATGGAATAGACTTCCCTCAGAAAACTTAAAAATTCAGAGTATGCTATGGTGAGCTTTAAAGGGCAGACTCATTTTAATAGACAAATAGGTAATCTTATTGATCCTAGCTTGTCATGTTTAACTTGTCTTTTCTGCCAGGTCTAACAAATTACTTGACTACATGGTGAAAGCTAATGAGTTGTAAAGTTTCCATCTCTAATGCAAATGTCCAAACCCTAAGGCAGCGTCGCACCATCACAGCACAATACATTAGGCCGAATGGACCTGCTGTTTAGGTTTATGTTTAAGGAGGCTCTAAAGTTGTGACTTTACATGCAAAATAAATGTTTCCATGCAGTTTCTTTCTGCCTAGTCATGTCAGCAAGAAGAGAAGTTGGGAAGCACTATCAGGATACACAGGGAGGACTTCTTCTAGATACCATGTCAAGTTGAAAATTTGGACTAGGATTACTCTGCATTGGCCAAATGTCCTCTTCCCCCAGACAGATTCCTCAAGCTTCTCCTGTGTGTTGCCAAGGGATTCACAGGTCATCTGGGAGATAAAGTCCTTTCTTTTTATCTTGGATCTAGTCAGTAGTGTCTGGCTGGTGCAATGGCAAACTGAGTCATCTGAAGGGCAGCTTTATAAGGTACAGAAACCCCAGCTGACTCCTTCAGTGCAGAGAGAGCAGCAGATTGAGGTAATCCTCAATCTGCTGAGCTTCTCACCTTGTTGTGTAAAATAAGCTCATTGCACAGAAAACCTAATTTTAGTCCCTATGTACTGTAGGTTATCTCAACTTCTCATTCACTCCATAAATCCTAGGACTGTAGATGAGATGTGGAATGATGATCCAGCTATAATATAGCTGCAGCTAGATTTAGTGGTTTGCTTTGTGCCTCAGCTTGTTCTTTACCGATATGGTCAGTGGTGAGTAAAGTACATTAAGCATATATCATAATATCCGTATTATGCTACTTTATTCTTCTACTCAGTGGGAATTATTCTTACTCCTCTACACTCATTAAGCAGCTACAGTTACAAAATTACGATTTTACATTAAACAAAACATCTGATAAGCTTACAGTACATTGTCAAAGATGAGCCCTGACAAAAAAGAAGCGTGTACTGAGCATTCTTGTAAGATTTCAGATATTACTTGTTAGCAGTTCCACCAAAGTGTGATTTCCCCTCTAAACCTCTCTGTTCGTTTCTTTTAAAGGTCCAGTGTGTAACATTTAGGAGGCTCTATTGGCAGAATGGAATGTAATATGTATAACAATGTTTTCATTAGTGTATAATCACCTGAATGTAAGAATTGTTTTTACTTACCTTAGAATGAACTGTTTTTATCTACAGGTCGCCTTCCGTGGCATGTTGAACCACCAGGTTTCAATAGTAGCCCACACTGGCTCTAGGTAGGGGTGTTCCCGTTTTTTGTGCGATTGTGGCCACTCTAGTTTCTCCTCAGCGCTTGTAATGGAGGGGGAAGCAGCGGAGTTGCAATCTGCAACTACACAGCTGGATGCCAGTAAATCTGGCACACTGGACCTTTAAATAACTATCTGAGGTAAACAGAAAAAAAAAGCATAACTTAGAGAAAGGTCACAAAATGAACACTTGTGTAACAGAAATCTTTTTTTCTTCTTTTCTATTTCATTAATTATATCGGAGCCAATAGACTAAAATACCACATTGTATGTAAAGTAGATAAATTAACTCCAGTTCAAACCAGCTACAACAGTAAAATGCTGCTCACACATTGTTGCATCAGTACTAACATTCAGTCACAGGGGCCAGTACAATTTGCTGAAAATACTTCTGTACTTTGTTCTTTGAATGCAGGACCTTTACATATAATGGGGTATTTATATATTGCTGTATTCTTACCATTACTTCATTAAGAATCTGAATACTTCCTCCATTACTGGTTATGGTGTTAAGATTTGTGGGCCTCATTTAGCCTGGGTATGAAACCCAAACTTGACTCAGTCTCCTATTATGTTCTTAGATGAGTGAAAACCTGATCCAATTAAAGGCAGCAGAACCCAGTCCTTGAGCCAGACTGCTGTGTGTGCACCTGGATGTTCATTGACCTGAAGAGGTAATACCTTGGAGAACCACCATGTTTAGACATGCTGGCACTTAATCACTTTATTGGTCAGATGTAGAATTAAATTAAACCTTACACTGAGGCATGCTAAATTTGAGATAAAGTAGTTAAGTAAATCTAGGTTGAATTATAACAGAGTTGCAGAAAAAATTTAGTCATGCTGACTTCTGTACTTGTAGTTATTATAGTTCTGTACACAACAGCAGTGTGGTGGCAAACCGAGATTCCTTTGTGGTACATTGTTGCCTTTCAGGCAACATGCACATCTTAGCAGTTTTCTAAGTTATGTGCATACAAATGAATGTCTTTATGCTTACAAAATTATGAGTCCAATTTAGTACAGTAGTTAACGAAAAATGAGTGGCTTTTCCTTGCAATGGTTTTGTAAATGGAATGTATTTCTGCCACTCGTTCAGCCCTTTGTGGTATAAAATTGCCATTTTGGACCAAATAAAGTGAAAGTATTTGCAGGTTCTGCTCTTTCTTTTTCCCGTTTACAGCTATTAATACAGCTAGGGACAAACAGTGAGTTATGCAGGCTTTTGCAGTGTTTGTGGAGTGATATTTGAATGTCTGCTGTCCAGTCATGAGCTGGTCTGTCCAGAAACGTACTATGAATTTTCAAACTATGCTTACCACTTTGATGGGTTTTTTGTAGCCACATTTCTTTGGTCACCACAGAAGTTTATCTTCAATCAAGAGTGGCAACAAGGTAAAAACTAATTGCATTTAGTTCAAATAAGCTTTTTTGGTGTATTTGCTTACTTCAGTAATGTTAAGCTAATATATTATTTTGTCTTTTGTCTATTTAATTTCAATGTAGCTCTTATGTTGGTCTATGAACTGCACAAAGGAAAATAAAAGACATTAGACCAGGCTCATCATTTTATCGACTGGAAGCTACAAACTGAATTTGCCTGCTTTAATTTGTATATAAGTAAGCAGCTGTAGAAGAATGAATAATGGCTGGGACCTAAACTGCATAGCTGGCTTAAAGCAACATTCTGTGAGATCTGGTATTTGTTGCGATTTGGCGCCTCCACTGTCAGCTGTACGCGTGCATTTGTTATGAATACATTATGTATGATCAAAAACTAGCCGGTTCACAACTTTGCTAACACAGCCGAACAAAAACACAACACAGCATCAAGCCAGCTGATATACTTACTAGTCCAACAGCAAGAAGGCCAGCTCGGCATCTGTCATTCAGCCTTTCATTTCACGAAGCTAATGACCAAAAGTCAGATTTTCTCTTTTCAAGCGGTTACTCTCTCCTCTTCTCTTCTTAGCTTCCTCGGTCAACTTCCACTAATGTCTCTTCACCTCTGCCATGTCCTCAGAGGCTGCTGAGCCCAGTTACGTTGCCCGCATCTGAATTCATATCTGAATGTATGAATGAGCATATAAGACTTGAGCAATGATTGAATAAGTGTCAGGATATCTGAATGCTGTATGTGTGTGGAGTGTGTGTGTGTGTGTGTGTGTGTGTGTGTGTGCACAACTGCACTAATTAGCTCATCTCAGTCTGCTGTATGTTCCAGTCAAAGGTTGCCACGGTGATGGTAACTGCTATTTCAACTCCTGTCTCAGAAAGTGAGAATAATGCAGAGTCTAACCTCTCATCGACTGCTTCTACCCCAAAGACATGAACTCCTATTGCCTAAATGTATTTGTGTCGTGTCAAAACGGTGAACACGGGAGAAGGTAAGAAAAGTGAAATGTGTGCTCTCAGTTAATGTGGCAGTTGGTTGGTGCTCCTGTCACTTGGAGGCTTCTTGAGCCAAATGTGTAAGTCCATTTGCTTGTGTTGTTACATGTCTGCAACCGGCACAGATTTTCCTACGTTTTGGTGGATAAATTATATATGTGGAGCGAAAAACTATGGGGATGAGAGAAAGTTGACGATACATTTTTAAGATGAGTTAACAGCTCCTTCCCTCTCCTACTGAACATACTACACACTAATGCAACAATCTGAGAAGGGCTAAATGCATGAATTTTGTACTTTGATTGTGGAAATATGAGACAGATATGTAAAATTTGAATTAATAAGTGCTGTGAACGTTTGAAAGTTTGAATTGAGTTTCTTTGAGAATGTATGAATGAGTGGGAAAAGGTTGAAAATGAGTGGGTTTGAAGTGTTATCTAATTCACTTCCATTGTAATATTTTGAAAAGTTTTAAAGGGATTTGTACAAAGAAAGTTTGAATGAGTAGTTAAGAGTTGAAAATGCATAAACATTTTGAACAATCTGTCCATTATTTTAAAATGAAAACATTTCCTGGTAGAAGTATGAAAGGTATGATTGAGAAGAGGTTGTGAATGTTTCCAGCAATCACACCCAATACGATTGCCTGCTTGTCTCCTAAATCATCCCAATAA